AGCAATCTCAAAAGAAATTTAAAAACATTTTAAGCTAAATGAAAATGAAAATACAACCTATAAAAATTTGTGGAATGCAATGAAAGCAGTGCTTACAGGGAATTCGTAGCATTGAATGCAAATACTGTATTAAAAAAGAAAAGAATATCTAAAATCAATAATCCAAGGTTCTACTTTAGGTAACTAGAAAAAGAAGAGGAAATTAATCCAAAGTAAGCAGAAGAAGATAAATAATAAAAGTTAGAACAGAAACCATTGAAAGTAGGAAACCAATAGAGAAAAACAACAAAACCAAAGCTTATTCTATGAAAAAAGATTAATAAAATAAATAAGCCTCTAGCTAGGCTAAGAAAAAAAGATTAAAGATACAAATTGCTAATATCAACAATAAAAGAGTGGGACAACACCAAAGGCACAATCCATAAAGAAATAATTGATGAACTTGATTTCACTAAAACAAAAATGACTGCTCTACAAATGATATTGTCAAGAGATGAGAAGAAAAGACATAGAGTAGGAGACAATATTTACCAAAGACCAGTCTGAGAAAGGATTGTTATCAAAATATACAAAGAATTCTTAATTTCAACAACAACAAGAAACAACCTGAATAAAAGTGGGCAAAAGACCTGAAAAGACATTTCACCAAAGAAGATATACAGATGCTAAATAAACATAAAAGAAGATTCTCAATATAATATGTCATCAGGGAAATGCAAATTAAGACAATGAGGTACCACCACACACCTATTAGAATGGCCAATATTCAATTGTGTGCGGTGATGTGGCTGTAATCCCAGCTACTCAGGAGGCTTGAGGTGGGAGGATTATTTGTCAGGAATTCCAAATTAGCCTGAGCAACACAGCAAGAATCTGTCTCAAAAAAAAAAAAAAGAATGGCCAATATCCAAAACAATGACAACACCAAATACTGGTGAGGATGTAGAGCAACAGGAATTCGCATTTGTTGCTCATAGGAATTCAAAATGGTACAGCTACCTTGGAAGACAGTTTGGCAATTTCTTACAAAATTAAACATACTGTTACCATATGAGTCAGCAATTGCACTCATTGGTATTTATCCAAAGGAATTGAAAATGTATGTCTACACAAAACCTGCACACAAATGTTTATAGCAGTTTTATTCATAATTGCCAAAACTTGGAAGCAACCAAGATATCCTTCAGTAGGTTAATAGATAAACTGTAGTAGATCCAGATGATGGAATACTATTTAGTGCTAGAAAGAAATGACTTAAATCATGAAAAGACATGGGGGAAATCTTAAATGTATATTGCTAAGTAAAAGAAGACAATTTGTATGATTCCAACTATAGAACATTCTGGAAAAGGCAAAATTATGCAGACACTAAAGGGATCAATGGTTGCCAGGGGTCAGGAGGGAAGAAGGGGTGAATAGGTGGAGCACAAAGGATTTCTAGGACAGTTAAAATACTCGTTATGATACTATTATGGTGGATACATGCCATTATATGTTTGTCAAAACTCTTAGAATATAAAATACCAAGAGTGAACCTTAATGTAAACTATGGACTTTGGATTATAATGACGTATCCATCAATTATAACAAACTTACCACTCTGTTAGAGGATGCTGATAGTGGGAGAGGCAGGGGTGTATACAGGAAATCCCTGCAAGCCCCACTCAATTTTTCTGTGAACCTACAACTGCTCGAAAAAATTAAAGTCTATTTTAAAAAATAATATTTACAGAAACATAAAATATAGAATATTTAGAAATAAAGCTGACCAAAGATGTCCAAGACCTTTATATGAAAATTATAAAGCATTATTAAAAGAAATTAAAGAAGACCTATGTAAATAGAAAGACATGTCATGTTCATCTATTGTGTACTAAATCACTTCGGTACAGCACTCACCGGCCACGAAACCTTGCCCACAGCCGGCACTCACAGTCCGCACGATAGTTTGTGCTGTGCATTGACGACGAATCTGTTTTGCTCTTGTGTGATGAGGAAAGCTTTAAAGCACTGAAAGCTTGTTTTACTTTACAGGCAGCTTTACTTGTAATGTAAATCAGAATAGGTAACATATACATATATGTTTTTATTACATTATTTTTAAATGTTCACAATTTTATTTTGATAAATGAAAAATTAGAAAAGTCAATTCAAAATTATAGACTAAAGTCGACGCTTGGCTGTGCACCTTCATATCATGGCTGTCGACAGTCGGCTGTGCACGTTCATCTGTGGCTATCGACTATAGTCGACGCTCGTACCAAAGTGGTTAATATTATACAGATGTTAATTTTCCTCCCATAGCCTCTAAATTGTATATATTTATGAAGTTCAAAGTGATCTTTTGATTTATGAATACAATTTGGAATAATTAAATCAAGCTAATTAATATATCAATCCCCTCAAATACTTATCTTTTTTTGTGATGAGAACATTTGAAATTTACTCTTAACAATTTCAAAATGTGTAATACACTATTATGAACTATATTCACCACACTGTGCAATAGAGCTAAAAAAAATAATGTCTTACTGAGATTTTGTACCCTTTGACCATTATCTCCCCATTTTCCTCATCCTTCATCCTCTGTGACGACCATTTTACTCTCTGCTTCTCTGATTTCAATTATTTTAGATTCCACATATGAGTGAGAACATGCAATATTGTCTTTCTGTGCCTGGCTTATTTCCCTTAGCATAATATTCTCCAATTCCATCTGTGTTGTCGCAAAAGACTGAATTTTCTTCTTTTTAAAGGCTGAGTAGTATACCGTTGTGTATATGTGCCACACTTTATCCATTCATCTGTTGATGAACACTTAGATTGATTCCATATTTTGGCTATCATGAATAACAGCGCTACCATAGACATGGAAGTCCAGACATCGTTTTGATAAAGTGATTTCAGATCCTTTGGGCAAATGCCCATAAGTAGGATTGCTGGGTCATATGGCAAATTTATTTTTGTTTTTTTTGAGGAACCTTTGTACAGTTTTGCATATGGCTATACTAATTTACAGACCTACCAACAGTGTACAAGTGTTCTTTCTCCACTTCCTTGCTGACACTTATCTTTTGTCTTTTTTATAGTAGCCATTCTGACAGGTGTAGAATGATATCAAATTGTGGTTTTAATTTGTATTTCCCTAATGGTTAGCAATGTTGAACCTTTTTTCCATGTATCTGTTGGCCATTTGTATGCCTTCTTTTGAGAAATGTCCATTCAAGCCTTTTTCCCATTTTTAAATGGGTTTTTGTTTTCTTGCTAATGAGTTGTTTAAGTTCCTTATATATTTTGGATGTTAACTTCTTATCAGATGTATGGCTTGCAAATATTTTCTCTGAGCCTGTAGGTTGTCTCTTCACACTGTTATTTGTTTCCTTTGCTGTGCACACGTTTTTAGTTTGATATAATATCATTCATCCAATTTTGCTTTTGTTCCCTGTGTTTTTGTGGTCAAATCTAAAAAAAAAAATAATTGCCCAGACCAATGTCATATAGTTTTTCCCCTATGTTTTCTTCCAGTAGTTTTACAGTTTTGGACCTTATGTTTAAGGCTTTAATCCATTTTGAGTTGATTTTCATATATAGTATGAGACAAGAATCTAATTTTATTCATCTGCATGTGGATATCCAGTTTTTCCCAACACCATTTATTGAGGAAACTAGCCTTTTCCATTGTGTATTCTTGGCACCTCTGTCAAAATCAATTGACCTTCCATGCACAGGACAATTTCTGGGTTCTCTATTCTATTCCATTGGTCTATGTAACTAGTTTTAGGGTTTTTTGCTAGTACCATGTTGTTTTAATTACTATAGCTTTGTAGAATAGTTTAAAAGCAGGTAGTGTGATACTTCCACCTTTGTTCTTCTTGCTCATGATTGCCTTGGCTATTTGGGCTCTTTTTGTGGTTCCATTTGAAGTTAGGATTGCTTTTTCTCTATCTGTGAAAAATGACATTGGAATTTTGAATTTTGATAGGTATTGCACTGAATCTGTAGATCACTAGGACAGTTTGATATTTAGGCAACGTAGAACAATGGAACAGAATAGCTCATGCCAAAACAAATTCAGACACAGACAAGAGTGGTTCCACAGTACAGTGGGAAGAGCACTCTTTCCAATACATAGATCTGGGACAAATAAAAGTCCATATAAAAAAACAAATTTTGATCACTACCTTCTGTCCAGTAAAATGTCAATATAAGGAGATTTGGGCCTAAATGCAAAAAGCAAAACAATAAAGCTTTTGAAAGGTAATATAGGACTATATCTTCTTGTCCTCAGTGTAGGGAAATCTGTTTAAAATAGGACACAAAATACAAATCATAAAAGAGTTATAAATTAGGTTCCATTAAAATTAAAAACCTCTGTTCATTTAGAGATACCAATTAAGTCAATGAAAAAACAAGCCTTGAGGGGAGGACTATGTCTCAACATATTTAACTAATAAAGGCTTCTCAACCAGAATACATAAAGAACTAGTATAAATAATTAAGAAAAAGACCTTGGGAAATTGGGCAACAGACTTGAATAGGTAATTCACAAAAGAGGTTATCTACGTAGCCAAGAAATATATGGAAAGTGCTTGACTTCGCTTACAATTAAGGAAATGCCAACTAAAACGCCATCAGGTATCATTACCACACTCATCAGAATGACAAAATTGAAAACGGCTGACTATCAACTTCTGAAAGGGATAAGGAGCAAAGGGAACGCTTCCGATAGTGTCAACTATTTACTAAAGTTGAAGATACGAGAACCCTATGATCCATCAATTACAAATACACATACAAACGCTCCAAAAGTCGTATATCTACAGGACCCAGTTTATGGGCCTCCCCGGGTTGCTCTGGATGTTGTCAAGTCCCCAGACCTGGACTGTGTAACACCAACAAGACCGTGCGTAATGGTGGGCTCTGCCCTAAACATACTATGCGCAGTCACTTGTCTGCGTCCCCGGGTTCATTCCCAACCAAAGGCGAAGCCTGGCTCGTACCTTGCGCTGAATTCCTACAATCCAGCAGCGCTGGCTTCTTGAGCGACATCTTCCTGACAGAAGACAAGGTGCGTTTGTTCTTTTGGTGACTGACCTTCGGAAAGGAGTTACTGGTCGGGTCGCCGTTGGTCTTGCTTCGTAGCGACACTAGGTGGAGCTCCTTCTTTTCCTTCCCCCTTGCCTGGCGGGCGGCGCGGAGCGTGGGCTCAGCGCCTTCTCAGAACCGCGAGCTGGTGCCCTTGCACGGCCGGCAGGACAAGGACGTCATCGTCCGCCACCCAGGAATTAGAAAGAAACGTCTTTTCTCTGCGGGAGCGTGGAGTGCATCTTTCCGTCAGGACAGGTGAGGAGCTTAAGGAGTCTGCTTGATTCTTCTGCTTCTAGGCAAGCGTGAGATCAAATAATCTCAAACCAGCAGCCCACCGACTGCCTTTCCTTAAAGACGGAAGGGGAGCAGAGTCCACGGACTCCCTCTTCAGCGACAACCCTGACTGTACCTTATGAGTGGCATGTATGTCCCTATAGCACAGAAAGGAGAGGTTAATACATATTTATTGTCCGCTGGAAAATAACATTACATCATCATGGGGAAAAGGGAAAGAATTAGCAGGAGAAATGAGATGACTGGTCTGTAACCCACACGGACTGGGGGCGCTCTGCTCCCGGCGGGCGGGCCTAGACCTCCAGCCCCATAGAGGGTTGTAAATTCCTGATGGGAATATTCTGCTTCAGTATTGCCTCTGCAAGGCAACTATCGGTTCTCAAGCAGAGCCTCCACTCACCGTCACATCCTCTGCTTTGTTTTCTCATCTATTTATTTGTTCAGTTATTTATTGTCTGTCACTTCGCTGGATTGTGAGTTCCCAGGGACCTTGTCTATTTTGTTCGAGGCGTGGTCCTCATGCCCTAGAATAATGCTAGGCATATATTGGGTGCTCAATAAATGTGGAGTGGGTGGTCCTGTGATTCCAACTCTCTGTGGATCAGTTTTGTTTATGGGTCTTCTCCCGCCTGTATATGCTGTCCCTGTTCCATAGTTTTCAACTCATTTGTGCAATTCTAGGCCTTCTTTGGGTGCCCTTGAAAAATGTCCCGCAGAAGGTGTCTTTGATGGGAAAACCTCCACCGAAAGTTTGGGTAGAAAGAGGGAGCTACATAGAAGTGACCAGATAGTTTAACCCCGAACATTAGTGTTGCCTAGATACAACAGTCTCAGCCCTCTGCCGGTCATCAAGACCTTCCCTTATGTCCCATCCCACGGGTCTCTCCGGTATCTCAGGATCTTGCTATCACTTCTTTCTTTTCCATCTCTTTTCCTTTTTCCAACTCTGTTCTTCATGCTTTTATGCAGAGTAACTCAACTCTTCCCAATTCCTTCTCCAAAAATAAACTCTATCTAAGCCCAGCTTTGCCTATCCAGGATCCATCAACGTGTTAGCCAAACTAAAGCACCACCTCCCTGAGCAAATCCAAAGGTCAGAGATAGAACAATGTCCTCTTATGGTAGAACTCCCATTGTCTCTACAACTAACATGTTTACCTGTTTATTTGATTCTATTACTCTAACCCTCCGTCCCTTGCAAAAGTTAGAATCAACATCCAGTGTCCTTCATGTACTCCAATATTGTTATCTAGAATAACAGTGATTTAAAAGATGACAGATGGAGACCTTGTAGAAGATAATAACCTCCCTAAAAGTCTGTAGCTTAAGGATTAGGTGTAGAAGTGGGGCGGAATAGGGAAATTTCCCTTTTCCTTGCCTTGATGATTGCTTAAAGAGGTATGTGGTTATCTGTATTTATCAGCCCCAACTATTTTATGTGCAGAGAGGAGGAATTCAAAGGAGTCATCCCTTTATTCTTGAATTTCCTCTGTTCCCTACAAGCATCTTCTGACCTTTTATATGTGTTAAATGAAGCTAGCTGCTGAAACAGATAAACCCTGGAATCTCAGAGACTTAAAACAATCATGTTTTTTTCCTATTCATGTCACAGTGCAAGGTGGGTTGTATGGCCTTCCCTGTGAACATTCAGAGGCTCAGGCCCCTTCCACCCTGTGGCTCCTCTTCCTAGCCATCCTCTCAGTAGCTGGCAGGCGGGGAAAGAAACTATGGGGGAAAATACATCTGCTTCTTAACCACTGTTTACAAAACTCTTCTGCTTACATGCCACTGGTGAGAACCAATTACATGACCCAACTGCACGTAAAGGGTGGAGAGTGAGAAATGTAGCTCCTGGCTAGTCAGGGAGAGCATGAATCTTTGGTGGTCAAATAGCCATGTTTGTCACCTCTTTGCAAGCTAAATTTCCATCTAGAGATTAGTCTCATGTAGTTGGCCTTCCTCTACCTTCTGCTAGCATCATTTTTCACTTTTGTTTTTAAGCCTGTGGCTTCTATTGTCAATCCTTTATAAGCCCCAAATACTTTTCCTTCTCTCAGTCTAGTATCCAAGCTTAACACCTTTCTTTTCCCCGAAAAAGTTCATTGTAGGGGGGCATCTATACATTGACCTGTTTCCTGACTTCAGCCTTTCTCTTGTTGGCCAAGACTGTGCCTCTCTGTTTCTGACTCCTTTTCATGAATGCATTGTCACATGCTCAGGAGCGCTCAGGACACAAAGAATCCTGATCCTCCTGCCCAGTCAGGGGTTATATTTTTCAGCATCCCCTCCCCCATATACCCACTTATGCCTACTTGGGCCAAGTGACTGATTCTTAACCATGGAATGTGGGCAGATGAGTTTTTTAAAGACCCAAGTGGTTAAGAAGCAGATGTACCTTCTCCATAGGCTCTCTCCCCATCTGCCAGCTGCTGAGAGCAAGAAGGATCCGCACACAGGTGGAAGGGACCTGGGGTTGGATGATTACATGGGCCATACAACCTGCCTTGGACTGCTGCCCCACCTTCAGGAGGTGGCTCTACTGCAGTGGTGTAGGATATGTGAAAGTTAGTGTGTGACACCACCTCACCTTTTTTCTGAATTCTTTCTCCTCTGGCCACTGTCCCTTGTTTGTCTTTCTCTTCCTAGATTAGCTATTAAAGGTATGAGCCTTTCAAAATAGTTTTTTAATAAAAGACTTGAAATTGGAAACAACTTCAAAACCCACAAAAGGAATTTGTTTTGTGGAATTACAGGTACTGTTATTCTAGTACAGGTACTGTTATTCTTTATCTGGGGAAGGATAAAGAAATATTTTTGAAAAAGATACTTGCCCATAGCCTCTTAATTCTCCTACAATTATCAATATCTACCATTTATTGACATGTATCACACTCTGTGCTAAGTACTACCTATAATGCTTTCATTGAATTTTTTTCTACAAACTTATGAGGTTGATTTAATATTTGTCTTCTTTAACTTATGGACATCTGAACTAGAGACTATTCCTAGGAAATCTGCCAAGCTGTCTCCCTCTTCTTTCCTTATTTGGTTTAAAACATCTGCTTATTTTCCCCAGTTTTCATAGTTCCATTCTTTTCTCTCCATTCCATTGAACTGTAAATTGGTATCTGAGAACATCTCTGTTTGTCTGCTACCTACCTGCCTACTTCACTAGTTCTCTGTTCGTGTTCAAAGAGATTTGAGGCAGCCTATACCTTATACAAATTATAAGAACTTAACATAGTGACTTTTCCATAGCAGATGTTTAATAACTATATATTTGAATAATAAATGAATTCCAATTCTCTAAATCTTACATTCTAACTACTCCTGTAGGTTCTAAACCTAACTGGGTATCAGAAGCAAGCAGGAGAATTTCTTATGGTATCAAAATTTCTGAGGATGGGTTTTAGAAATCTCTATTTTTAACAAACTCCCCAAGCAATTCTGAAACAGCCAACTCATTCCCAGCCATCAGGCTGGCATTTGAAAACCAATGGGCTACTTTATCCTTCTTTGCCCTGGAATCATATTATATGTCTTGTTCCCTCCACAATCCATGCTGCCCTACCCATTTTCTCTTAGCAGTCAAAAACCAGTAATCAAGTTGGTCCATCCTGATAATCTCACCATGAGACAAAGATATGCTCCCAAAGTCTGTACCAAATGGTAAGCTCTACTAGACATCAAAACTTTTCCCTACCAATCAGCCCCTACCTGCAAATATGTCACCGTTTCTACAACCTAAATAAAAACCAGAAATCTCTTTCCTGGATACGTTTCACCATGTTGCATGTTTCACCCAGTGATAGACTCTTTCAAGTCTCCACACTGAGTTAAGCTTTAAGCTATCTTCCTATCTACTTGATATTTGGGAATCCCATATTTTCAGATTACTTGATTCTGCTGTTTTCTTATGCTGACCCCACTTCCAACATACTCTTCTGGGGAGGTTTTTGAAAAGAGGCTGTTAAAGTAGAACAAGCAGATTCAAGAAAACTGCCATCTGGCTTCCACGCTGCAGATGCCCACATGAGCCTTGAAAAATCTAGCTGGGGAGGAGGTGGAAGATCCTGTGGGCTGGCTGATAAAGGAAGAAACGAGAAGGGGACTTCTTTCCCTTAATGTTGCTACAATTGGCCCTAATCACCATAGTTTGAGACAGAGAGACAGAGAGAGAGAGAGAGAGAGGGAGAGAGAGAGAGGGAGAAAGAGAGAGAACACAAGCGTGTGAGCTCTAATCACTGTTAGGTGCAGAGTCTGGAGCATCTAAAGGAAGAAAACAACCTTATATTTATAATCTATAGTCTAGAGACACACATTGTATGGCCACTTTCATAGCCCTCCAGAGATGCCCGGGAATGGAGTTCTTATCTAATCACTCCCATTTTTCCCTCTTGCTTGTGCTTTCTGGCCAAACTCCTGGTGTGACAAAGGGAACAAGAAGATTTTCCAGCCATATGTATGCATGTGTATGTCATTTTAATTATATGTATATATAAAAAATAGGATTATTTTTCATATTTGCCAAAGATGCAGTCAAAGTCAGGCTATAAAAACTTAATTGATTTTTAAAATTTAAAATTTTAGAGGTAAGAGAAATCTTAGAGATTATCTTATCCAACCAGCCCTTTTGTAGGGGATAAAGTTAAAACCCAAAGAGGCAAAGTGACCTGCACAAGTGTATACAGTTAGTTAGGACCAGATCCATAGTGGTCTCACTGATGGGCCCCCCCAGATATCTCTTAAAGGAGAGAGATCTTTGGTCTGCTGCTGGGAGGGTAGTTGACAGACAGCCTTAGCTGCAGAAAGTGGCTTTGCCTAGGACAGGCCCTTCCTGGGGCAGCTCATTTCCAATGACTGATTAAGGTGACAGTATAAAGGCCCAACCCTTGGACCTAATGTGGAACACATTTATGGGCCTTTTTTTTTTTTATCTCTAGAGCTCCCTGTGGGGTTGG